TAAAGATAAGTAGTTTTTGTTGTGCAATATGTCCTTGTAACTTGGCTTTACACTGTTATGTATGCATATTTGTGCTATTTAGCAGTACCACTTTTCTATGGTTTTGAAACGGAGCTTATATCTAAAGATGTGAAATTTCACCTATTCTTCACCTGTCAGTAACCACTTTTTATTTTTCTAAAGAGGCTCTAAAATCAATTAGATGAGATAAAATAGATCAGCTAAAGAGGATGAGCCATATAGATTGCCACCAAATATGATTGACGTCATGTCCATGTGTTGAGTGATAAGTCAATATATTGATTATCGTGACACGGCTAGTTATGTTAAATGATTGCAACCTATAAATCTAAACTGCAACCTATAGATATTAGATAAGCAGATGATTATCAGTAACTGTGACAGTCAATTTATTATTTTTGGTATTATATTTTAATTTTTATTTCTTTAGCTTGGCTTCAGTACAACATTTGTTGTACTGAGTGCTTTGAGTGTCCATGAGCACTATATAAATGTAAGTTATTTATTATTATTTAAAATGTCTGAGCTCAACCCAATCCAATTTCGTTCTATACTTTATAATAAACAACAACAGTCCGTTTTTCAATGTATGTGTTTTCAACACACTGTAATATGGTATAGCTGAATAACTAAAGTATTTTTAATATTATCTTTACTTTTATTATTGTTATTGTTATTATTTTTTTTTCCGTACTTCGTATGTTGTGGACCTCTTGGCAGGGTCACCCTTGTTTATTGATCTCAATGGGTTTTTATCTGGTTTAATAAAGAAACATTTATTATTATAATTATAATTATTATTATTAGTAGTAGTAGTATTATCAATGACATGTTTAAAATCTTCTTAGGTTATTGCATTTTAACAAATTCACATAATTATTTTTACCAAAAGGAAGTTCAAACTTTTGTCATTCATTCTTTGTTCTTGTGAGTTGGTGATCTGTTTATATGAGGGTGTGTGTGAAACTTACCAGATGCTTTCCTGTACTGTTGCTGTGGCTGTCCTCATCTTTGATAGCAGGTGTGAACGTGCAGTGTGTCATTGAAAGGACTTGGCTGAGTGTCAGATTGTGACTTTATGGACTGAACCAGACGTTTTTCAGCATTTACAGTCGCCAGATACACAAACAACTTATGGTCACTTAATACAAAAATATACAGAGTAAATGATTAACTAAAACTTTAAGGGCTGTATTATATAATGTGGTTTATCAAATATTTTTACAGGCATCACAAATGCCAAAGTAATGGGAAATGAGTATTAAAGGACAAAAAATAAACAATGGTTTAAGACCATCATTGTATGATGACACTAATATTTGGTTGTTTTTTTTTTGCTTTTTCACCCCAAGTTTTTTATTGTTACACAATTTTAACGTAGCTTTTATACCTATTCAGATTTTAATAATAATAATAATAATAATAATAATAATATTGTAAGTGCGTTTAAAGCTCTTGAAATCTGCAAAACGCCCTGTTAAAGAAGACGCCGTATGCAGAGCGAGACAGGTGTATTTAGAAAGGAGCGCCTCTTGAGCCAATCAAAAACTTACGCTAAGGACGAAAAGGCGGGCTCTTGTCTAATTATACGGACTTTTGACCAATGAAATGAGAGGAGGCAGCGCGTAGTTCTATAGAGGCGTGTCTTCAGCTTTTTGCCGTTGCAGCTCTGAAGAGCGTCTGAAGAGAGTAATGGCATGAGCTTTGCGTCGAGATCCTGTCAAAGCACCAAACAGCGAATTTGTCGCGCCTGAACTTTTCCACTCTTTCCTGAGGACTATTTTACAATTTAAAGGGGACATCTTATTACCTTTTTTTCCACTGTCACACCAGAGCAGCACTTGAAGTCACTCCACCGCAGTTGCGCTCCTGTCTTAAGACATTTTAAATAAAAGGATATGGTGTTGGACATGTGAAATTCACGGGGAAACTTCAAACATGAAGCTGGCATCTTCTCTGTGTTGCCTCGGGTTTCTTCTCACTTCTGTGGCGGTCCGTCTGAGCGACTCGCAGCAAGGTGAGTAAACGACAAACCATCGTCTCGTGCGCAAAGGTGTTTATGCATCTCGTGCACGCACCTATGAGCTCTGCTTACTTTTTTTGGAGATGTTTCTTGTTGTACGTATCCTCTGGTACGAGGAACCATGTTTCTGTGCATGTAAATCTCCCTTAACAACAAAACCCTTTAAGATGCGTTATTGTGATGGTGGTGGTGAATGAATGGCACTCATTTACCATCACAATGATGCATAGATTTCATGCACAGAGTCTTTATGTGTGTTGGTGTGAAAAAGCCAGGCATACAGTCGGAGCAGTGGCACTGGTAGCGCAGAATGGCACTGTTGAAGTGGCACTGAAAGGGGCATTCAGTTTCACTGGACGTTTGTTTTGTTATTCTCAGCCCGTACACTGTCTGAGAAAGGAGTTTGAGTGGTCATTGCTTTCCGTGCATGCGAAAAGTCACTTCTATTGCCTTGAGCCGAACCTCTGGTGCGTGTGACTGCTTTATAGTTGACTTTTCGTGGGCTGAAAGATATTGGAAACTTGAAATGTCACCGCGCAGTCAAGTGCACCGTATTTGATATATCATCCTTCAGATTTTTTAGATGTCAACATGCAGAAATGGAGTTATTTGTGAGCTGTCTTCTTGTGGGAATTTATGGTCTACGAAGGTGTTTTTACAGATATAAAGTCTACGCGATTGAAATGCAAATACAATTTAGGAAAATGTGATGCGAACAAGCAGATGTGATGTTTTATTATGACATAAGATTAACCCGAATACACAACAATGTGACTTTCTCCACATGGTGGTAGTATATGAACCGAAATAGTCTGAATCTTTCAGTTGCTCCATTTCTCTCTGTGTGCTTTTTTTATTGAAATTCGTATGCGTGCACATAATGCATAATTCAAATAGCTACACAACACGTGTAATCGAAAGCGATGCTGTTATAATAATAGTTGCTTTATATAAAAATAAATGCACTTTTGATGCATTTTTTGATGCACTTGATTTTTAGCAAACCATACTCTCCTCTCACCCCCTCCGCACACATGCATTGATAATTTTCAAATCCTTCCAGAATGGGCAAGTTCGTCAATACGAAGCCTCAGCATTGATTGGTAGTATAAATGATGCCTTAGCCACCGATACTCCATCACACTCGCTTTGAATTGACCTCATTAAAAACATCCAAGCAAACTTTCAAACATAGCAAAAGTTTTACGCCTATTTGATGAGTTTGAAAAGCGATTCTCGTGACTTCGCATGCTGTTCGCGTTGCGCGTTTTCAATGCTTATAATCAGTAATTAGTGTATCTTATTGTTATATACTCACCTTTAACTAACAGGTAAAATTGAGCTATTTGAGTTAACTGGTTGAAAGCAGGTAAAGGGCTCGAACTAATGAGGGTTTACGGGTTGTTACTGATCTCTTCGTGACATTGGTAAAGGCAGAGGCTCCTGACGCACTCCTGCGCTGCGCTGCGCTGCACTGCCCGGAGGAGACACGATGCTGATCCAATTGTTATTTTAGATTAAATAAATTAAAAAGCCTGCAAGGGAGAGCTATTTTAATGGGTATACAGGTAAAGAACAACAACACTACTGTAGGATATTCTGCAGGATACACGTCGGTTAAACAAGCTTGTTTTCAAAATGATGCTATTGATTTATTGTTGGCTCGCAACAATAGGAGACCTACTTTTGAGTTCTTAAATAACCTTAAGATTGAGAACTGTTTTAAAAAAGTGCAATTTAAAGATTAACCACAAACTAAAGCAACCTTTTTAATAAATAATTAATTTAACAAACTCCCAAGTCAATGTTTTGTGTTTGTCTATCCAAAATGATTAGTTTGCTCATCTATATCTTTAATGCATGCATGATTTATATGGTCATCAATGCAGAAAGGTGGCATTTGTCATACTAAAGGTGCATTTTAAAGCATGTGAAGGACAAAAAAAGTAATAAAGATTGCATATTATATACACCTTTTTCATATGTTGGCTTAAACAAAATCCTTGTTGAAAATAAAGCATCATCTTTAAGCGTTGACATCTAAATGTAATAAATGAACATGTAACAAATAAAAGTTACAAAACACACTGCTTTATTACAGTTTAATAGATTAATAAATAAAATATTTAACATTAACATCTAACATTTGTTTTTATAAAATGCTAATTAATAATTGTTTTTGTAAAATTTTTGTAATTTTTCTTAGTTGTTATTGTGTAATATTTGTCTCTTCAGTTGTAGCCTAAATAATATGGTCAAATAAAAGTGAGTCTGAACACTGAGGGTTAATGATGATGATGATGTTGATGATGATTCTGGTGATTATGATGATGAGTGATCGGACCACTGAAGTGTGCTGTTGTGTTTAGTCAGATGTATTACTCATTATAGTGATCCATATCGGTTATCGCTTCAGTCTGTCTGAAGACGCTGGTGAATTTAAATCAGTCTGTTCCGTGACATTTAGGAGCCGTGCCAGTAGCAAGACTTGTGGGGAATAGTAGGAACACAAATATCAGTTTGTTAATCGGCTTAGTTTTGGATTAAGTCCTGTCAGCGAGACTGGCTGCTGATGAAAACGAATCATTCAGCAATTTAACTTCTATTTTTCCTCTATCAGATCTTCTTCGTGGATGGATCCCGTTATTATGGAGCTGTGGAACAAGCATGAGAAGTGATACAATGTATGCTTTTTGTCTGTATATATTTTTAAGATTACGTGGGAGGTGATTTAAATTGTTCCAAATTTAACTGATTTATTATAATAGAACAAAAATAAAGTATCAATCTGCCTTTTTAAGTACTGGTTGCTTTAAAAGTGAGAGTGTGTATATATAATTAATATTTACTTTTAAATTAAATTGAGTAAAGAAAGGAATGAATATATATATATA